ATCAGAGAGCAATACATGGAGCTGAGCTGTCAGCTAATTGTGCTATGTCTGATCATTTCCCAGACTCTTTTCATGTACATTATTAACAAGTAATAACATGATTTTACATGCAGTTTGGTGTGATAAGCACTTGTTTTATTTTTCAAAGACCATAAATTGCACGAACTAAAACTTGCGGCAGATCACGCGAAAGGTGATCTCCGCGGTTCCTTTGCGTCCTGTAAGTGCTGCAAAGTACTTTAAATGGTTTAAGCTATACACATGTAAGCCGTTGTACAGAGAGGAATGCACTTGGAGTTATTGGTAAAAACCATAACATTTTGTTAAAGAAATCGACCAGCCGTGGTAATTTTGATTTGCCTTAAAGTTGTTTAGATGATTTTTTTTTATTCCATTGCTTAGACAAAGTAGCGATAGGTTTCGCAACTCAGCACTTCAACACGGCACAAGAAGATAACTATCTTCCCTCTTTGCAGCGATTGTTGTGTTCCGCCACTTGGCACATTTTGCTTTCCAGTTTGCTGACCCGCATTGCTAGTCGCGAGTCTTAGCTGCATGTGGAATGTCGGTAAAAGTATTATCAGGCAACAGTCATAGGGAACGGTGGACAGAAACGGGGAACGGAAAATAAGGAACAGGAATGTGGTACGTGGGAAGTGGAAAGGAGACAGGAGAGCCAGAGCTTGACACCGAAGGTACATCGGCAGAAATAGGGTTGTCGGAAAGGTGAGAGGTTCGGTCACTCCAGTTAAGTCACATAGTGTTCTCAGTCACCTTCAGTCGCTTGTATGTTCTTGTTCTTATTTTTGAATTTCTCTCCAGTCTCCTTTTTCCTCTTTTTCTTTGTTTATTTAATAATTTTGCAAAGTTTGTTATGTCTTCTAAAGTGCATCAGAGAGGTGGATTTCGAAATTTCGGTGTGCTATCGAAGATATTTGGATCTTATTGTTAATTATTGCAGAAGACGTTTGAAGTTACCGTGTCTTAAATTAACACCACAAAAACCATTGAAAGGACAACTTTTTTTATAACGAAAAACACATTTCTTATTTTAACTCGTTTAACTCGCAAATTTTACCTGTAATGAAAACAGAAAAACTTAAATTAGACTAACTCCTAAAAGCAGTAGACGGAATCATGCAAAATCATGTTCTTTAGAGCGTCTTAATTGCTCCTTTCTATGGGAAACTTTAAGAAATCACCCCAGTGTCACCTAACTGTCACCTTGTTGAATGAGTTAGACAGATTTTAAAATGCGCCTTTGCCTAACTGATCGGAGGGTATGTTAGAGACAGGAATTCTCCACACCATTTTGGTCCCTGGCCACAAGCTACAGTCATCCTTTATTCGTCGCGTGACTCAGACTTATTGTCTCGGCTTTTCTTGTCATATGTCATTTATTAAGAAACAAATAATAAAAACCCTTTAGTTTCATACATATAAAGATAGATTGTTATTCAGCTCACGATCCACTTTTTCCTTTTTGAACAGCTGCGCACAGCTCTTAAAATACCAATTTTGTCATGCAAACGCCTTGTTCGATTCTAGGTTTTATCACCGGAAGATTATAAAAAGATAAAAACCTGAGGAGGCTTTTAGGAAAGTTACTGTAGATATGGAAGGCTTTGAAGATTATGTCCTTAATAAAAGCACAAAGTTAGAAGTTAAATTAAATAGAGTAAGAAAGATGGCAAGTTTTGAAGAAATGGAGAAAGATGGTTTTCGTCTTGTCGCGAGCGTTGGACAAAACAAAAAATTCTGAGTCCCCATGAGGAATCGAACCTCAAACCTTTGGATTCCACGCTCCGATGCTCTACCACAGAGCCACAGAGACTCTATAGTGAGCGAGGCCCATTACGAAATTCGTGTATGACATCCTTCTCTATTTCTTAACCGAACTCAAAGCTTACCATCTTTCTTATTCTATTAACAAACATGACGCTATCGACATCGCTGATCCTAGCAGTATGAATGGACGTGTGTCATACATGACGCGTGCCTTGTCACGCTCGTGACGAGACGAAAAACATTTTTCTTTGAAATTAAACTGTTTCCTAAAATCACTTGACAGAATCACGCAAAATTCTTCAGAGCGTCTTTATTGCTCCTTTCTATGGAAAATTGCAGGAAATCGCCGCTGTGTAGCCTATCTGTCACCTAATTCAATGGGTTCGACAAATTTTAAACGACGTTATTGTGTAACCGATCGGAGAGTATGTTAGAGACGGGGATTCTTAATTTTTAATTATTATTCAGCCCGCGATCGACTATTTCCTTATTAAACAGCTGCGCATAGCTCATGAAATGCCATGCAAACGCCTTGTTCGATTCCGAGTTTCGTCGGCGGAAGATTATAAAGAACCTGACGAGACTTTTAAGAAAGTTACCGGAGAAAAGGTAGGCTTCAAAGATTATTTTCTTAACAAATTTCTCTTAGCCGTTTTCAATGTTTCTAGAACAGAGGTCACCCTAAATTCAAGAGAGAACTGACGGTAAGGTGAGTTTGTGAAGGCTGTCCAATACGCCTAAATTGGGTCGATTCATCAGAGGCAGTTTGAATTATGAAAATAACCTAAAACATCACTCAGGCGACAAGAGATTGAAGGGAAACCCAATTTTTATTGCTGATTAAAAAGAAATAAAATGTACAGGTCAGCGTCTTCTTTGGCATGAATATATTGAAAATAAAAAGGAAAAACTACTTGAAAAAGCGGAGCAAATTGGCAGCCACAACTGATATCTTCGGGCGAAGTAAAATGCACGACAAAGAGAAAAAGTTTTAGATATTCGACACTTGTTTGTATGATACCATGACTGAAGGCAAAAAATGAGAACCGTTTTGTGTCAAATTCGTTTGATGTGCTGTACTTGTTATAAGCCTATGTAGAGTTTTTTTTTAATATCTTCCTCATACTCTCACATGCTCCTATGTAGATGTGTTACGAGAATTCTTTAATAACAAGATTTAATTGGCGAGCATTCATGGACTCCTTAATCTTTTCCCCCTTATTATTATTATTTTTTTATTTAATTCACGCCTTTTAACATTTGAAATGAAAAAAAAACAGAATTATCAGAATTAAAAAAAAAAAAGAAAAAAGCTACTAAACAAGCGAAGTAATTTGGTGAGTGCAGCTGAAATCTTGGATGGAAAAGAGTTTCAGATATAGAGCAATAGTTTTTTGGAAAATCGCTTGACATAAGCCGATTTTTCTTGTTTTTAGTCTTTTTAAAAAAAAATAAGAAAACATTATCTACGCCCACGTTCACCTTTCGAGATACGCATCTGCTGCAGAGCATGAATGCACGGCCAATTTTTTCTTTCTTCAGTTTTTTCATTAACTCTCAATTGGTAATAACTCTCAATTGGTAATAATAATAACAAAATAACGACGACCGAGACTTGTTGGAAGCCCGTTATCCATTGCAAGCCTCAGAGTTATAACTTACGGAAATCAACATCATTCCCATCTGGCTAAGAAACTAATTAGTAAGTGAAAAATGCAAAATTAAGTGGCGCTGATATCTGGTAGGCAGATCCAAGTGAAATGGAAAAACAAATTATTCGAACTTTTCTGCGGACCAATTCCGAACTATGATAGAAATGATAAATATGATTACAAGAATAATAGTCATGATGATTATGATATCGATCATTATGGAACCAATCATGACTATAATAATAACTTTAATAATGATAGCAAAACAAGCGAAATAGAAACAAAAAGACAAAGGAACATCTTTGAAGTGTTGGCGTTTTATTTCCAACGCTAGTTATCAATTATGCATCCATCTGAATAAATTATCAGTCGACTTGTGAATTTATGATAATTAGTGAATAATACATGGTGGGTGCAGACATTGGATATCTCTTCTCGTGTTCAGCTCGATGTCTCACGAGTTCGCGCAGAGATCGCTGCGCTTACTCGTGAGACATCGAGTTGAACACAAGAAGAGAAATTCCGAATCTACTAGCGACCATTATTATTTTGTTTATCATCTAAACGCAATAGGTCTTCGCCGGAAAGTACAGTCGACTTAATTAATGAATGAAAAAAATAGGATCCAACATCCAAGAAAAAAGTCCGGTAAATTGCGTCGGCCAAAAGGCTAAAGATGAGAAAAAGCGTTCAATCATTACAAAAACAAGCAATGGGCGTAGATTTCAATTCACATAATTCTCTCTCTGAGAACCTTTGAACCATACCAAATGAGCTGTCATTCATCTAAATGATCTGAGACATATCTGATTGGTTCACGCATGTCATGTTTGTATGAAATATATTGCGGTACGTCGTTGAAGGGTAACAGGCTATGTGGCATGTCACGCATCTTTCTGAGAAAGTGTGAAAAGTAGCCTGTGAATTCGAAAAAGTTCTATTTACGTAATAAGCGGTCAATTCCATGCGACACGACAAAATGAACAAAAGGATGGAAAGGCGTTTTCCGAGCGGAGATTGAATAATGAAACAAAATAATATAAATAATTTTTAAAAAAATTTAAAAAAAAAATTTAGATCTACCAACTACATATTTTTATTGAAAAATATTAATTTCAATTTGAGTGAAGAAGAGGCGAACTTTTGGGTCTGAATGTTAGTTTTCTTTTGCAATAATGAGCCTACGTGAACGGAAAGTTACGAGCTTAATATTTACTGGTTCGTGACTCGTTAAAAGTGTTCAAAATCTCTTTGAAACAGTCTAAGGAGTTTGATGGCTTTCATAAGCAGCTATAGGAATTAGTTGCCCTGCACGACCTTTAAGGAAACAAAGCTCGTCTTCATATCGGAGAGGGGTTTATTAAAAGGACGTAGCCAACATCTACGAAAACGTACCGGAGGGATGTAAGACCATGGGTAAACTTTGTTGCCTCAAGGTATACCAAAATAAAGTGTTGAGGTTACGTCAGTCGAGTCTCTTTCGCAGTACTCTGTTTTCAAATCATTGACGGAAATACCTTGATATTTCTCAGTCATTTGGAACAGGAAAATACTTCTCGGATGGCTTCTTCACCGGAGTGTATAACCTGGATGGTTGTGGGCCTGACTGAATCTGTCACCATAATAGCTCTGAATTCTTTGACAGTGATTGCATTTTGTCGAGACCGTGATCTTCGTAAACGATCCACATACTTAGTGATGAGCTTGGCAGTTGCAGACATGTTATCCGGGGGAATTTCTCCACTCCACCTCTTCTATGATGTTGGAGCGATGTGCAACTTCTGGAGGCATAATACGGAGCATTGGTATCTGATACCAACGGTCTTAGTCTCCTGGTTTCTCGGTTGTTCCTTGACAAATATGACTTTTATTTCTCTAGAACGCCTGAATGCAACGTTTTGGCCCTTCAGACATCGTACCATCAAAAAGTCAGTCTACTGGGTTCTTATAATCGCCATCTGGTTGACAGCACTACTCTTTTCATGTGCGTTAGTAATGATTTATTATTATACACGTGAATGGGACTATTGTTTCTACACTTGGAGTTCATTCATCTCAATTTATCTTTTGGTCATTTGTGTCTCTTACGTCTTTATTTTTGTCAAGCTTCGCTTTGGAAAACAGCCTCGACACCACGGCGCGGCAAATAGGGAAAGGAAACTGACCGTGACGTTGTTCACTGTGACTTCTCTCTCTCTGCTATTGTGGCTGCCTTATGTTATAACTATTTCTCTGTTTTTTGCCACTAACATTTTAAGTTCAATGTCTGAAATGGCGCTTTTCCGTTTGTATCATATTTCAACCGTCTTGCTTTACACAAACTCTTTCTTAAATCCGATAGTGTATACTATAAGGATGCCAGGTTTTAGGCGAGCTCTAAAGATGTTATGTCGCCAACGACCTCAGCCACACAGACAGGTTGAGAACATTCCCCTCCGTGAGATTAACCCACAAATTTGGATTTAACTAGTGTGGAAGAAAAAAACTTTCATAAAGGTTCTGTGAAGATAGTGTTTAACAGGAAGTATGCTTTAAATTCTCCAACCTCTGCCTTAAATTAAAAAAAAACAAAACAAAACAAAAAAGTAAATAAATAAATAAAAGGAACGGAAAAAAAGGAGGAAAATGGAATTAATCAGATTACGTTAAGGATCATTTATTATTAAACGTGGTTCCTTTGTACGTTTCATGTGTAAGGTTTCATTTCAAATTTTGTTCATTTGGGTTTGTTTGATTATTCCATTCCTTTGGATTTAGTTCTGCTTCAGTTTAGGTTTAGTTTACGTCTGTTTAATTTGCGTGAACGCTTTTTTGTGCGTGATTATGTCAAAGCCGTCCTTTACCACTCTGTTTCGCTTTGATCGTTTCTATCGCTTTGCCTTGATTCGCTTCACGTTTTGTAGAGGTTCGCTGGTTTCCTTTTTTTGTCAAAGAAGTAAATATAAGTACGTTAGACATTGTGATTGCAATTTTAATCATATTGTGCAATTCTATATTATCATATTATGTAAATATACTAAAGTTAATATGCATTTCCTCCATGCTGTTCTCGATATATTTCCAATGGATTTGACAAGGAGAATTTGTTAAACAATCAAGGGTTCTTAAGTTGATGATCATTTCTTTTATTCTCGTGACCTTTTTGTTTTATTCAGGGGTGATACTGTAAGGAGAAATTAGATGTAAGTCAATCTTAGAGTTCAAAGGGTTAACAGCTAAAGGATTTGTAGATGAGCTAGGTGACCGCTCTTTATCAATTTGAATATACACAAAATCAGAAAAAAAGATGTTATTGGCTAAGTTATTTACTTATTTATCTTTATTAGTAATGGTAATAGGACTTCGTGGAGTCCAATTGGGTCTGCAATCATATTTTCTTATCACGAGAAAGATTACAGACCGAATTGGACTCCATGAAGTCTTGTTACCAATTAATTAGAAAAATTACAGTTTGCAAGAAGAGAAGTATAGCCAAGTTATAAAAGAAAGAGAAAATTTGCATTAAAAGAGTGACAAAAGAATTGGTGTTTCTATGGTGATTGAAACCGAGGCTGTAATCGGTTGAATTGAACTATATCTTTGAATGTGATTGGTTGATTTAAACTACAACTTTGGATGTGATTGGCTTATTGAACTGTTCCATAACAAATTGTCCGATAACAACTTGGCAAGTAAATTAAACGAAAAATGTGAATTTTTTAAACCAATCACATTTATGATGAAGACTGGTAATCTCAGCATAAATGCATAATCTAAAGATAATCAATACTTATGCATGTATGAAATTTAAAAAAAATAGGAAATAGGTAGATTTGTATTAGAAATAAACTAACATAAATAAAAGTGGACGAAAAAATATGAAACAGGCTCCATTTTCTCGCGCAAGGGGATGCGAATGCCGAGCGTGAAAATTGGATAAAGCAACAAGACTTCAACATTAAAGTCCTACACCCAGGAGAAGAGGGTGAAGTTTGCCTATCTGTTTGTCTAGCTTTATTTACTTCAAACTTAGGGAATAAAAATTGAGAGAATAAGGATCGTTAAATGTGGAACAGGGAATAAAGAACGGGGAAGAAAAAAGTGAACAGGGAACAGGAAACAGGTAACAGGAAGCAGAGAACAAAGGACAGAGAACAGGTAACAGCGAGCGGGGGACAGGGAGCGGGGAACAGGGAACAGTGAGTGAGGAACAGGGAACAGAAAACTGGAAAAAGAGTACAGAAAATAGGGAACAGGGAATGGGAAGCAGGGATCGGGCAACAGAGAGCAGAGAATAGGAAAAAAAAGAGACCGAGGGAAGAGGGACCGAGGAAGAGGGAAGAGGGAAGAGGGAACAGATAACAGGGAAGAGGGAAGAGGGAAGAGGGAAGAGGGAAGAGGGAAGAGGGAAGAGGGAAGAGGGAAGAGGAAAGAGGGAACAGGGAACAGGGAACAGGGAAGAGGGAAGAGGGAAGAGGGAAGAGGGAACAGGGAACAGGGAACAGGGAACAGGGAACAGGGAACAGGGAACAGGGAACAGGGAACAGGGAACAGGGAACAGGGAACAGGGAACAGGGAACAGGGAACAGGGAATAGGGAACAGGGAACAGGGAACGAGGAACAGGGAACAGCGAACAACGAACAGGGAACAGGGAACAGGGAACAGGGAACGAGGAACAGCGAGTAGAAAATAGAGAACAGGGAAGAGGGAACAGGGAACAGCGAACAGGGAAGAGGGAAGGGAAACAGGAAAAATAGAACCGGGAACATGAAACAGTGAACAGTGAACAGGGAACAGGGAACAGGGAACAGGGAACAGGGAACAGGGAAAAGGGAACAGGGAACATGAAACAGTGAACAGGGAACAGAGAAAGGGAGACAAGGAACGGGGAACAGTTTATAGGTGACGGGGAGTGGGGAACGATAAAAGGGGAATACAGATATATGATTATGCCACTATCGATATTTTAGTCGAATTTTCGGTGAAGGGGAACAAAATAATAGAAAGCAGCCACGATTGTGTGGGCTAAATTTTGGCCACGGTAAATGGCTGATTTGTTGCCTATAACTATGATATAAAATCATTATCAGACAACAGTGATAGGGAACGGTGCACAGGAAACGGGGAATGTAGAACTTGGAATGGAGAAAGGAGAGCCAGAGCCTGGCACCGAAAGTACATCGGCAGAAATCTGGTCGTTGAAAAGGTGAGAGGTTCAGTCACTTCAGTTAAGTCACGTGGTGTCCTCAGTCACCTTTAGTGGCTTGTTTGTTCTTCTTCTTACTGAGTTTCGTCTCAGTCTCCTTTTTTTCTCTTTTCTCTATTTATGTATTACTTTTTGCAAAGTTTGTTATGTCTCTTAAAGTGCATTAGGGAAGTAGACTCCATAATTTCTTTGTGCAGTCCCTAAGATTTGGATGTTACTGTTAATTTTCTGCAGAAAACGCCTGAAGTTATTGCATCCTAAATTAACATCACAAAAGCCATTGAAAGGACAATTAGTCTATACTGAAAAACACATTTCTAATTTTAACTCGTTTAATGCAAATTTTACTAGAAATGAAAACAGAAAAAATGTAATTAGATTAACTCCTAAAAGCAGTAGACGGAATTATGCAACATTCTACAGAGCGTCTTTATTGCTCCTCTCTATGGAAAACTGCACAAAATCACCCCAGTGTAACCTAACTGTCATCTAATTGAACGAGTCAGACAAATGTTAAATTACGCTATTGCTTAACTGATCGGAGGGTATGTTAGAGACAACTTCATTCTGGTCCCTGGCCACAGGCGACAGTCAACCTTTAGTCGTCGCGTGATTCTGACCTTTTGTCACGGCTTTACTTGTCATACATCTACAGTCCATTTCTGGATACTTGATGACGTCACCAACATGGATGTCGTAGTGGGACATCGAGGAAACTCACTCATTACTTCATTCGAGCCCTAGCGACTTAGTTCCCTATCCCATGAAACCTTGCAAAATTACAGAAGACAAGTAATTAAACACAACAAGCAGAGAACAGATGGTGGTCGCGATGACGAGAAGGAAAAATTCAGATGAAAAGTCGGGTGGAGGTCCATGTTGCGAAGGGCTCGATCGAGGAATAACCTCTATTTAGTTGAGGTTTTCAGGTATGCAACATTTTTTTTGATTCCTAAAAAAATCTTTTAAAAAACTAGAATAAATTTGCTTCCAATTTGTCAAAATTCCAATCGAGTGCACGAGGTTTTTGCTCGAGTGCACGAATGTTGAAAGTCTGTTAGTGTGCAAACTACCAGACGGATTCCTTTGTTCAGATCCATCGGAGTATAGTGTAAACCATAAATTTTAACCATACGTTGTGGCCGACCAATTTAAAGTAAAAGGACAATTATTTATCGGATCTTTATAATCCTACATTGTGAATTTCTGATCAAGCCAACAGCATGGATGAACGCATTCAGTATCTCGAGACACTTTGTCGTCTTTGTGGCAAAAATCTGCCACGGACCTGGGTCAGTGCTACAAACAAAGAATCTTTTAAATCGGAGCTCTGGATGAAATTTCGAATCAATGTCGATCTTGACATCAGAGAGATTCATTCAGCCAAGGCGAATGCACACTAAAAAATAATTTCAGGAAACCACGGATCTAACACATAAATGTGATTATCCAGCGAGTAAGTTCTCCTTCGGGCAAACATAAAACAAAGAGGTATTCGTTCACTGAGCTCTCACATCTTTAGGTATCGTATCCGGGAAATGTGCGATAAGAGCGGCATGAAGATGAAAATAAAGAAATCACATTGGTGGAAAGCCTTGCCGAAGTGTCTCTATTACAACATTCCGGAAACAAAGGTTAGAGTTTAACTACACGAACTGATGAGTGAAATTTTCGTCTAAAACCACAAGGGACTTGTCTGTAATTGTGAAACTCGTTTAGAAACACCGCTCGTGCTTTCACATTTTGTAGTGATTACCTAAACAAACTTTCTATACAGGGTGTTCAAATCAAAGGGTAATTGTAAAGGACATATTATTGCTGACTAAAAGCTGTAGGACCGAATTTGTAGTGTTCTGAGACCTAGATTCTCCCGCGAATCGATCAATAGCGCGCAAAATACCTTGTATGATTCTCTTGCATTGAAGTCGATCATGTGTATTCGTCTTAATATAGATTGTGACTACTTGATTTTATTTTATCCCACTCATGTTTTTATTGGCGTTTATTTTCCAGGTATCATAATTTCAAGATCAAAGCTCCACGTGGAACACCGCTTGTTATTCAAAGTGAAGACGACGACACGTATGACTCGCATGCACTGGCTTGTCTTCTTCCACGAGAAATGGAACGCATTCCAGAAGCTCTACGAGAAGTCCAGATTTTCAGCAAATCGCAGAGAAAGACATACACTTTAGGAGATGTCAAAGGGCAGCAGATCGGCACGGTTCAGCACTTTCTAAACATACAGCTGCATGCTTTGCTTCGATGTGGCAAAATAAC